TAAATTAAATAGCTTATTTTCTACAACAATATTTTTCTGAGGCAATCATATCTTGAGGTTTGTAGTTTTGAAATTCTTTTGCAATTTTTGATAAAGCGAGCAATACTAGGAAATGGGTCTAGAACCATATTTCTCACCGTCCCTTTTTACATATGTGGAGAAAATTTAAAGAAAAACTTTGAGCGGTTTTAGAGGATTGTTTTTCTTTATTTATCATATATTTTGTAGTTTTACTTTTTTTCAAATTTCGGAAAAGAAGGGATTTCACTGAAAATGTGAAATACACTATTCTCTCAAACGTATTGTCGCACTATTGAGCAACAAAATTTAATCAAAACATTTGGAGTCTTTTTTTGAAAATTTTGGAAATATCTGAGGGGCTTCACGTAAAGTATCCTCCCAAAATCATAATATCAGTTTCAAATTACAGGGGCCACGATATCAGCCAGATGTATTGAGGAATATCAATTTTGGAGAAAATCGGCTGGACGGTTTAGCCGTTAGCGTAGACCTCAGACCGACGGACGGAAAGACGGACGTTTTGTCGTGAATCGTATTTTCGGTATCAAGAACCAATAAAATATTGATTCTGGCTACACCACATGTTAGACGATAATTTTCCTAAATTTAGAAAAAGGGTTTATCTACTTTTTCGTTACCAGTGCTCGGTTATAAGACTTTTTCTGACGAAAATTCGTTTTCCGCCGTACGATTAAATAATTTTATCTTCTTACGAATAATTCTCGTATGTGTAGTGCATGTTTTGTTTGGGATGTGTCGATGATCTTCCCCCGCGAGCTGGCGAGATCTGGCGCCGAATTCCGCCGGCTTGCGGGTATCCCCAACCAGGTATCTCCCAGCAGCGAGACACCGCCCCGGCTAGTTCAAGCTCTAAGCTCCCGACCGGTCTCCCAGCATGTGTGGTAGTGTAATGCATGCAAGTGTAAGTGTGTGTGTGAGAAAGGGGTGAGGATAGGACAAGGACGGTCATCCTAGGCCCGAGTTTAATACTTTATGAAGTCTTGCCTCCATGAACGTCTTGGCTGTGGTTTTGAACAGGTATTTAAAAGAGACTTGTTACATTTTGCCCAGGGACGACGTTGGAGGATGCCGGCTACACGCTGTGGGAGGATGGTGAGCCGGCAAGGGATCTGCGCTGCGGTGTGGCAAGTGTCAAAGGCCGTTTGGGCAGTGGGAACTGCGATTTGGAGAGAGGCTTCATCTGCGAGTTACACGGGTAACAAAAAAGTACTCTTTTCATCTAGTTTATTATTGGCTGTGGATGTGTGAGTGTGTGTCTCTGTGTATTTCTGTGATGCCGCTTTGTATCCTTTAGGTTTTTTCGTAGACCTATCCATTCTACATTTTATAAAACTCACGTTCCGCACAGATTACTGGAATATTCCGTCCAGTTGCCCCCCACAAAATTTTCCTTCTAATATTGGGTATTTTTACCTTTCCCTACTGTCAAAGATAAACCAAGGTTAATCTCAGTCAGCTCTAACAGGTTTCGAGGAATCTCATAAGCTCTTCCATGTATCTTCCTTCCGATTCTAGACATAGATATCCTCCCTCAGCTCTTGTGGAGAGTATCTGAGTCTGAAATTGTAGGAAAGAAGGTTAAAAAGGTGAGACTGATAGGTGGGAGAGCCCCACCCTTCCACAACACACTACACCCCGTCATTCGCGTGCTTGAAACCCCCTACTTGATGTAACGCGCACTTGCACGTAAATACAAATGCCGGTCAGGAATGGAAGAGGTTTTTAAGGTGGTCAAAGGTTGGGTAATATCCATCATTTCACAAATCATCCAGAAGCTATAATTTATTTCAGTATAGTGTTTAAAACACGCGGCCTCCCGAGACGTAACCGTTAAGGTGTTTCCGCGTTAATGACTGCAGCTACTCTGATCTTCATTTCTGGATTCATTAAGCGATCCATTTATCCCATCTCTTTACTTTTATGTTCCTGTTCCCCAGAGTGGAATTTTGCAGGAAGGATTTTCAAAATATTTTAGTTTTTTCAACAGAACACGTAGAATGTAAAATTTTTAAGAAACTATGAGTATTTCTGGTTTAAAAACAACCACAAAAGTGTATATTCTTTTAAACTTTTGAAATTCAAGGTCGAACGTTTGATAAGTGGGAAGAGGCTCTTCAACAAAGTAACATGTTAGTGCTCTAACTCAATTTCGTATTTTCAGTTCTTAAATAAGTATTACGAATTGAACGTTTGGTTAATGATACTTGTCATTTTGACTAAAGAGTAAGATGGTGCTTCTTCAGAAAGTAATTAAGACATATGAAGGTGACGCGCTCTAAATGATTATAAATTTCATCGTTTGTCTTTTATACTTTACAGAAGCGCCGAAGATTATAAAATATGAGAATATTCATGACAAGGATTTAAAGCGAGTTTTATAGACATCCAGTTCGCAACAAGGTGGCATATATATTACCATTGCCTCAAATCTGTTGAAGTATATTTATGCCTAAGCAGAGAAAATAATGATTGTGTTTCCATATTTCATTTAATATTCTATGTATTTAATCACTATACTTATGAGGTGCTTTTGTCTCTCATTATTGTTTTATGTGCAGAAGTGGCTAATTAAATAGATGACAATGACAAAATTCTATCGAGAGAAAATGGCATTTAGTAGAACGTCAAAACCTGAACCAATTCTGACTATAGGTTGTTGGGATTTCTACAAAGTTCTTATGGCACCCTTGAATAATAATGCCAAAAGCTCATGTTTACGAACATCCTTTTGATGTTGATGCGTTTGGTCTTTCTAATTATTGACGGTTTTGATTTTTAACCTTCAAGTATAGACATCCCCTTTTAATTCCTACACAGCGATAGTCTGAATATCAATATCAACGTGTGTATTTTATTTTAGCCCAAATGAGCATGTGCTCGAAGACAGCAATAACCAAATGACCGTGGGCTACCGACCCATAGGTGGCTTGGGCTTGTATCGCGTGCACCACGACCGCGTCAAGTGGGAGACGGCGCGGCGGCGCTGCGAGGCGGAGGGCGCGCACCTGGCGGTGGCCAACACGGCGCTGGAGGCGGCGGCCGTCTTCCGCACCAGCGGCCTGCCCGAGTGGTTCTGGGTGGGCTTCGACGACTTCGACCACAAAGGAAACTATGTCAATTTCGACGGTGAGGACTAGACTTAATGTTGATGTGTCATGATATTCATGTGCATACCAACTCGTATATACATACCCAGCTGGTTCTGGGTGGGCTTCGACGACTTTGACTACAATGGAAGCTACGTCAATTTCGACGGAGAGGACTTGACATTCTGCTAGATATATACGTATGTATATAGTGACGGTTAGTACGCACTGATAAGTCCATGTTCGAGGCTCTTATGTGATAGTACGTACGTACATACAGGCAATACAAATATATTTGATTTGTTGATTTGGGGAACTTGAAGGTCAGGGGTATTTGTAGAGAGAATAAGTTGGTTTGGATCACAATATTAATCCTCAAATAACTAAAAAAGAGAACACGATGGTAACAAAAACTCCCAGGCATTTTGTAAAATTATCACTTCCTACTTTCTCTTAAGCGCTTCCAATTCTCTTTCTTACCTCTCTTATCGTTTCTCTATTGGCCATTACAGCTTACTCTTTCAAGTTCCTAATGGGATACCATACTACCACTAATAGATAATTTACCATTCAAAGCGTCTATTCATGGAAAAGAAGACTCTCAGATAAAACTTAAATACATCTTGGCTTGAAAATAACATTACAATTTTCTCATTGGCATTGAATTTACCCTTACTTCCCCGCCTAAAGAAAACCTTATCTACTATTTACAATATCTTTTTCCTTTCAATGCATATGATCATTATTATTCTTATGATGGTCTTTCACTTAGATTCTGTGACCGTCAAAAATGGAGGTTCCTTGGGTGAATTACAGTTTGAGTGCAACACATCACGGTACTCCCTCACTGATAATTTTCATTCTACCACGTTTTGAAAACTTTCATTGCTACACATTGAAGAAAATTTACCTATGTGCCGCCGTCTTTCGCTCTCTCCCTGCTCTCTGGGCAGGTCGCGCTGCTCACAGCGGTGCCGTCCGCGCAGTTAGGAATTCGACAGGAGCAATGCAGCCCGCAGTGCGTTCGATTCCTCCTCGGCACGGTCTCTCGCCTCCACGCCGCTCAAAATGTTCTTGCTCCTTCTTCCGCCAGCGGATGTATTTCTTCTTACCCCGCTACCAGTGTTCCATATACATACTCCAGCACGACCGATCAAACTCTTCACGAATATAGCTTTCGTGATTATCACGAAATATCAATATCGAAAAATCACATATCAATATCGATTCCTGCGCATTAATATTCTTCATTTTCTCACAGTTCTATAATGAATTCATCACCTCGCTAGTAACAGATTGAATAACTAGTCACACTTTCTAAAAATGTACTTCTCTACGTACTACGTTTCACTGAGACGTCTGCTCTCTCCCTCATAATACGCGTTTTATTCTCTCGATTGCTAACTCAAGAAGAAATCGTTTCACTTCCGGTATCCAGATCTGCACTCTCCCCCGACTAGGGGAAACCCGGCCGCAAGTCTACGCCATGGCTCTCTCACGTTGGAAGGGGCCCTATTTCTTGGGGGAAAATTAGAATTCCTGGTCGTCGTGCTCAACATACATATAGATTTTGAGTCTCCCTCTCTTTCTCTCTCTCTCTCGAGGTCGCTCTCTCCATCTGTTGCTCTTTCCCTCTCTTGCTCTCCCCCTCTCACGTTCTCTCTCTCGCTTTCGCTCTCTCTCATGTTCTCTCTCTCTCACTCTCTCTCTCTCTCTCTCGCGCTCTCTCATTCTCTCTCTCACTCTCACTTCGTCTCAGTCTCTCTGGTGGCAATGGGGGTGGGCATCCGCTTGGCCTTCATGCATTATCGTCGAATAACGAGCATCTGTGCAATCAAATTCCGTTTGACTAGAACCCTTGAGAAAAATAAAGGAAACGGTAGTAAAATGGTTACTACATCAAAATGGAATGAAATCCAGTGGTGCTACAACAGCACATTCTTTGTTGTCTTATTTGTAACTGGCAGATAATATTGTAATATTACAACTTGTATCCTGCTCATGAAATTTTTAAGAAGGCAGCGTGCATCAATGCCCGGATACGTCAATCCATCGCGGTAGTATAATGGCACTAGAAGAGCGTTCAACGCGGAAAACTACTTTCAAAATATGACCTCGTGATGGTAAGTCACACACAAACTCTACTGCGATGGATCAATAGCGGGCCAAACGAAACAAATAAAAATACGCGTTATGAAAATGCATTTAATGACAACAATGGGGATCCGCAGTAGACGAATGATAAATATATAAACAACGGGGGTTTGAGGGAAGTGGCGAAGAATAAATAGACGAAGAAAATAGTATAAATTGTTTTAGTAATAAACTTCAAATGAATTTCCGAGGAATTAATTTACATAAGAAGAGTACAGGGAAACCGGATGTCAAAGAGTAAACAGTACCAGGCGCTGGGGGAAGTATCAAATCAAAAGAGAGGTAGGCAATGGATGTAGGAAGAAATCGGCGCAGAAGTACGAACAAGAAACTAGACGGGACTAATACTATGCATTGTAAGACAAGTGAGCGCGTTTTATGAACTGCTGGAGAAGACGCCACCTAACTGCGGTAGTGATCGGATGCGCAGATACATGAAGAAGCAAAATCTCTGGAAGTGCGGTGGCGGTCGGATGTGCCAATACGTATGGGATAATAGGAAAAGCTGTGGAACCATGACGGCGGTAGCAAGGAAAATGCAATAATCGGATAAGACCGACTATGTTTTAGAGCATGCCGTTGATGACCGAATAGTACGACGAATACCGACATACAAGAGCGCAGAGGACCAAAAAAAGGAAGTGATAAGTAGACAATGATAAGAGTAAAATTTATAGGACATCAATTTTGTCTTTCAGATTAAGTTATTCAAATTAATATAATAAGGTAAAACAGTCTTGTGTGTACGGGAACATTAAAGAGAGTATGCAGTTAGTAAATAATGGTATAAAAGGAAGATGTTGATTGATAAGGATTTTTGTGTTTTTTATTGTTTTTATATTGTTATAAACATAATGTATGTAATATTTCTGTTTTTAAAGCCAGGGAGCTGGGTAATGATAACGTTTTATTTGTTTTCAAGGATGAATCTTTTAATTTTATAACGGTAGATAAAATCTCTCGAATGCTAACATTTGAATAAAAATAAATATTCTTTACGAATAATTCGTCGCCGAGACTCCGTACGGACGACTCTGTTGGCTCACAAATATTTTTTTTCCGCTGGGTATATCCCGTACTATATTAACGTATAGGGCATTGCGAAATCGAGTAATGAAAAGTAATGGAAGTATAGTATTATTAGATACATAGTAAAACTAAATAAAGACTGTATAATCTGCCAGAATAAACATTTTATCTACACACACTATGCTCGTATTAGCATCTTCTCTCGACCGGCAGCCCCAATAGAACAACTCATGAATGAGCAACAAGTATCATTTTTGGTTCCGCGTGACAAGTATACACGTCTATATCGCCACACACCTGAGTCTCATCACAGCATGACGCGCAAGGGCGATAGGCGTAGGCTTTGCGCAGAGCGCGAGGTATCCAAGATTAAGCCCCCCGGTCACTCGGCATGTTTATACTCGCCGGTTCCGTCCCGCCACGGTTCTGTTGACTCTAGGCGGGGCTACAGCAACAGTACAGCATCGCCCCACATCCCCTTGTATTGTTATGTTTGTTTAAAGGTCAGAATCTGGGGGCCTCTGGAGTCTACTCTTCCTTCGCGCCCAAGGAGCCTGTCTGGGACCTTCGCTGCGGAGTTGCGAGAGCGGACTCACTACTGGGCACTGGAACCTGCGATTTGAAGAGAGAGTACATTTGCGAACAAGGGTGAGTGCTAACACAAATATCGATCAATATACCAATACAATGGATCAATTTTTTCTCTAAAATTCAAGATCACATCTCTATTCGTCAGCAGACGTCAGAATTGGGTGAGGTAACACTTTATGTAGAACGCGTAGGAAATAATATTTTTTGATTTAGAAGGTCCAATACGATTTTAAATTGTCTATAATATGCTGTACAGTACTTATTACTTACGGGTGTTAAAAGTTTTTTATCTTCTCGGTAATACGTGCCTGTATCGGCAATAGTCATCAAACCAATTGCTACTATCCGTTCAAGTACTTTATAATATCGCTCAAAGATTGTACTGTTATGCAGGCGTGTAGCACAAACAAATCGGAATTCTAGCTGTTGTCTACATGCTTCCCTTCAACTTCTGCTCCAATTAATTTATCAAAGGGAGGCCTGATTTTGTTGGTTGTTTCCAGTGTTTCTAACTTAAATCGGTTATTAATAATAATATTGTTCCATTCACTGCATGATGAAAGTCTACAGCAATCGAAGGAGAAGAAAGGAAAATTTGTCTAAACAAAACATTGTTTATAAAACATTTTTATTTTGTCAAAGTTCCAGTCACATCCATTGCCTCTATAAAGTTGCAAATTACCACGATATAATGAACAAAAGTTTGCAAAGGTAATGCACATGCAATGTTCAGAAAGAACTACTAGGAAGTAGGGGACGGTGAGAAGTTCTTTGTACTTTTTCTCTGTATAGGTATGTTTAACTATTTATTACAGATTCTTTGTGGAACCAATATACAATTAAAATTATGTTTTATAAAATTTCCTATATTCTTTTTTCACAAATAATGTTTTGAGTTTGATGTTTTGATGTTTGATAATTCTACCTTTTCTATCAAATCTAAACTCTTGAAGAATGAAACTGGACTTTTGTTCATATATGTCAATATTACAATTTTAAAGAGAATAATAAGGGAAGACGATGATGAGGGATGAGGAGGTTGAGGGATGATGTAGGATGAGGAATGAGGGATGATGAGAGAGGATGGAGGGAAGAGGAGGGAGGATAGAGGGAGGGAGAAGAAGGAAGGGAGGAGGAGCGTTAATGGCTTGTGGTGCGCTGTCTATTGCTCCCTGATAAAATCAATACGATATCCTATATAATTTATATTGCAGTTCCTCTGAGCCATGAAGAAAATTGAAAACACGAAATATCAGGAACATGCAATGCAGTTGAAGCAGATCTGGCGGTTAAAGAAAGTCCATTAATTTGTCTTCTTGATTTCCTTGTCAACAAACTTTAAAAAGAAAGAGAAATTTGAAACTACTAATAAAATTGTAAACTGTAAACTAAAGCCAGCTTTACTTCAAACTTTCCACATTGTTCGAAAGTCTTCACAGTAAGCGCAAGTGGGATAGGGTGAGTTTTTTTCGTAAGAACAGAATTTGAGCGAAGAACAGCAAGACGGATTCCTTAAGTTCAGTTTCTATTGAGAGAGAAAATAATTAATAATAATAATAATAATAATAATAATAATAATAATAATAATAATAATAATAAAAACCGTGTGGTGACCGGGTTTTTTGTAGAATAGCGCCACGGGAACTCCCCCTGTCGTAAACTAACAGGCGACTAACAGGAGCAGCTGTTCGCTGTCCCTCCCTCTAAAATGTATCCCCTTTCATTCTCTATTTCTTTCTTCGCTGTTCCCTCTACTTCATTGTCAAAATGTTACCTAACTTGCCCCTTGCCTGTTTTCCCGACGGTTTTCAAAATATTTTCCATCCATTCACCCTTTTTTACGTTCCCCGATGACTAATCCTACGTGGTCTGAAAGAACAGCTACGGACCGTGGGGGACCGGCAAAGGCACTATTGCGTGTCTGCGCTGTCAGGAAAATGGCAACCCGCCAAATAGGATGCCTGTCACTCCTTCTGAAAGCTGGGAGGTGACCTGTGCCCTTGATTTCCGGGAAAGAGACCGGCTAACCAACTGGCAACTGGGATATGTGACAGTATTCAAAATAGCAATCCCTATATTCTTTTGCGGGATGTAAATGCCTGAGCTTCGACCTTGGGGGTTGGGTGTTGGTGCTCAGATAGGGCTCTGGCTTAGAGGCGAGAGGTGCTACCTCTTTCGACTCTTACGCGGTCCGCCGGTGAAGAAGCAGTTATGAGAAGACGCCAAAGGATTCGTGACGTATGCGACCTGCACTTGCAAGGCGGTGCTGCAAGTTCTGGCACTGGGCTCGCAGTGAGAAATGTGCTACCAGTACCAGTGAGAGCAGTAGAGCCTCCTCATACCATCCGGGAAGGTGTGGCGCTGCACCACTTATGGCGATCACAATACAAAGTCTGGGACTCGCAGTTTGGGTTAGACAACATCTGACCCCGCACGACCTCACAACAAAAGTCAGCGCATGAAATCGACTAAGGAGTTAAATATCTCCATTATTCTTGCGTACTTTCTGGCTACCAGACTTGAAGAGAACATAGAGAGATACAGAACACGATTTCGCGAAGAATAGTTAAAGCTGCATACGAACATACCGGCATTCGAACAGAGAGTGTGCAACCAGCAGCACAACATCATTGTAAGAAACTTTCAGATCGAGATGAATACTATTAGGGATAATATAAGAGCATTCTTGGGTATTGAGAATAAGAATGAGACTGATAAAGGAAGAAATAATAAAGACACACAAGATAATAAGGAATGGTCTGTGGAAACGAATTCGGATGAATCCTGCCTCCTAGTGCCTGAGCAATTACCTTGAACTGCACATTATGAATCCATGAAGACATACCATGGTATCATGGTATTCCATTATCCTCCAGACCATGGATTCCACGAGTGGGATATATCCCACGTACAAATGCGGCGATGGAAGGTGTCAATAACTTACTCAAGGTGGATGTAGAAGAATCGACAGCGCTTGAGGAAGGTGTAATCTATGTGTCGTGTGTAGCCCTTGCTGTTGTACAGTCTTGGTAAACCTGTAAAGGATAAATTGAAAACATCGAAAGAGACAGTACAGCCCGCTAAGCCCACCAAGCCCCCATGGTTGAAGCGTATTGAATGCAAAATTTAAAGATTCCGGCGGGACATACGCACCCTGTCAGCCTTCTTTACGAGTAAAGCTTCTGAGAATGCAACTAGAAAGGTCTCCAATGCAGAGAAGCCGATTGAACGAAAGAAGAGAATTCGAGAACCCGGACGAATTTCGAGGAGAAGCTCCGAGACTGAGAAAGAGCAGTTTCTCAACTTAATTAATTCCTTCGGTTTAGATATTACAATAAATCACACTAACTTTAAAGAAGGCTATCGATGAAATCATAATTAACAAAACCTCTACTCGATATGAAATTGAAACAAAATATTTAGGGTACAGTGATCACCATGCACAAATTCTTACCATTATAAGAAATGCGAACACTGGCGCATTAAATAATACACAAATGAGTAGATTGTTTACTAAAAGTAAAATAAAATTATTCATCACTTACTTACTGCAAGAGTCATGCGACGCGGTTTACATTTTCTTTCCTCTTCAAAAAATAAAATTAAATAATTCACGGAAAAGCAATTCTTGGATAACACGAGGGATTAGGACATCATGTAAAAACAAGTGAATTCTTTCTTTCATTTCATCATAACGAATCTCAAGATTTCCTAATCTTCTTTAAAAAACACATGTTATTGTTTAGAAAAGTGATAAGGCAGGTTAAAATCACGAAACATGATTAGGATATTTTGAACTCAAATAATAAAACAAAAGCAATGTAGTAAAAAATTCGACCAAATCAACTAGAAACCTTGTAGAGAATGTTGTTTTAAATGTGAACGATCCGTCAGCAGTCACTAATCTCTTTAACCAATACTTTCCGAGAATTGATGCCGATCTCACTAAGAGTCTTCAACCACAAAATTTAACATCAGACGTTTCCCCCAAAAATTTAGACACGATCTTCGTTTCCGAAACTTCTTTCAATTGAGTTCTCAAAATACTCGGTAGACTAAAAAATAAATATTCGGCCGGTTTAGATTATTTGTTTGTTATTTATTTGTTTGTTAGACTTCTGGTTCTGGACTTAGGTCTTCTAGATTTTGAGTCCTTGTATGAAAAGCAAATCAATAATCTTCCCAAATACTTCTTCCGAAAACGGCGGTCATGCATGAAGCAACGGACAAGAATTTTACCCCACTGAACCTGAATCAAACGGACTCTGAAAGTCCATGTATCACCAAAGACGATAGGCTGAGTGAGTGGGCCCAGAGGTGTTTGCATGATCGGTATCCTGATGAGCTCAAAGGGAACGCCATGAATATGGGATCGTCAGTCTCCTGGCTAACAAAATGTGGCCTCTTTGCTGAGACAGAAGGCTTCGTCATTTCTATTCAGAATGAAGTGACCACTCGAAATTTCCAAAGGTATATTTGATTAGGGATATGAGTGTAAAGGACCGCTGCCGCCTTTGCAATCAAACCGGCAAAACCCTCAAACTCATAATGAGCGGTTGCTCTGCTTTGGCGCAAACAGAGCACCGGAATCGGCATAACAACGTTGCCGCGGTTGTCCGTCAGGCCCTGTCTGCAAAGTTGGAAATGGTACAGAAAGAGTTCCCGTGCTACAGGTTCAAACCGAATTCTGTTTTGGAGTCGAAACGGTGGAGTCTCTTGTGGAATGTAGCAGTCAGCTCCGTAGGGTCGAAGACAACAGACCTGACATAATATGGGTTGATAAGGCCTCACGGAAAGGGATTATAGTCGACATAGCTATCTCCTTAGATAGAAATATAGTTACCTCTAATGCCGAAAAGAAGCGAAAATATCAGACCTTGGCTATTGAACTGAGCGACATGTGGCAGTTAGTATCTGTTGAAGTAGTCCCCGTGGTCATCTCATCAAATGGACTGATCTCTGAAAAACTGATTTGATTGTCTGTAAGACTTGGTCTTAAGAACTAGCACATTCAATCAATGCAAAAGGCTGTTCTTCTGAGTACTGCACGCATCGTGAGGAAGTTTTTATTGATATAACTTCACGTTGAATCCTGACCACCCGAGTTTGCAAGTGAAGCAGGCCCCTTGGTTTTCCAAAGGTCCCGGTGTCTTCAGTAGGCTAAGCGAGAGACGTGAAAGATAATAATAATAATAATAATAATAATAATAATAATAATAATTTTTATTCTTTACACGCATTAAATTTGTCACAAAGTTGATTAACATACTAAGGACATTTTTAAGGTTTAATACTTCCAGAACGTACGTGGCGTACATGTTGTTCTACACCTAATAATGTAACCTAGGGCACTGGGCGCTTCTTTTTTTTTGCAGAGCGGTGCGACCCGCACCTACCCCACCCCCTTCTCCGCCGCTGGGGTACGTCGCCATGGACAAGTACCCGCACTCGCTGTACAAGGTGCACCGCGACAAGGCGTCGTGGGAGACAGCGAGGCGCCGCTGCGAGGGCGAAGGGGCGCACCTCATGTTCGTCAACTCTCTGGACGAGGCCGACAGGGTTCTCAAGCGCACCGCCCTGCCCGGCTGGTTCTGGCTGGGCTTCGACGACTTCGCCAATGAAGGGGAGTACGTCTACTTGGATGGTTAGTAGCGTCTCGATAGATATACAGTCGTTGCTGGCAATTATGTCTTATCGTTAAGAAAATACAAGTATCCATTCTCAGTTTTTGCGAATCAAAAAAGACAATAAATTCTTCTACTGTAAATGTATACACCTCAAACACGTATCATCTTCTTCTTCTTCTTCTTCAGGGATTGAGCCTCCTGGTCTGTTCCGTTTCCTTACAACTAACGTTACTATCTCTCTCATCTTTCCTTTTCAGCCCATATTGCTTTATTTTTCTAGGTCATTCTTGTGTCTGAAATACGCTCTAAATGTTACTTTCGTATTAGTACCCTGTATTGTTTCATTGTTTCTTCTATATTGGGCAAAAGAAGAGGAATATATCTATTTAAACTGTAATAGTAGGGCAGGGAGATACTATTGCTCCTGGGCTGTACAAAACAGAAAAACATTTTGCCGCTGCCAAATCCCAGTATTCTTGTAAAATACACGATTTTGACGGTGGAGATGAAAGAGACTTGAGAACATGCAGATTGGAAATGAATAATGGGTAATGTCACGCGTTAGGGAAGAAAGGGTGAGTGAATTTTGCAAATAATATTTATTATTCGTGTGATGTTTAGGAAGGCTTTAAAAAGGAGTTTTTCTTATATTTCAATTATTAGCCGTATTTCTTGTTGCAGTGGAATGACATTTTTATACATAAAAAAAGTATTTTTTTGGTGTGTGTGAGTGTATGTGTTATGTTATGTAAAATCACTCAAATATTTTGGGGCAAGACACCCCATAGTGTGGTGTCAAAACGAAGGGAGGTATGTAAAATTGCACGAGGAAATGCAATCCGCTGTGCACCTTACGGGAGCAGAGAAAACGGAAGGGCAAGTGGGAAAGAGCGAGAGAAGGGGTGGAGCGCATTATAAATAATTATTAAATAGGTAAGTGTGCTACTTTGCGTCTCATTGCTGTTGATGCCGACTGTTTCAGGGACGAGGGTTGCGGACTCTGGCTATGAAAGATGGGCCACGGATGAGCCTACAGAAAATCTCAACTGCGGCGTTGCGAGAACAGACGGACTCCTTGGTACAGGCACATGTAAGATTGAGAGAGAATATATTTGTGAATGGGACAAACCTAGGTAAGTTGACGAGTTACATTATGCAAACGTAACAAATAGTTTCTGTTAAAGGCACTAAATATATAAGTAAACTAATTATTCTACTTCATCACTTCCATTCTCCTGTTAATGGTAACGGTTATCAATATTGCAGTTTCTATGTATTCTAACACTTCAGGCATCACGTGAAAAATTCAATCAATATAACTCAAAATTATGTAAAAGTTACTAATATTTTGAAAATATACAAAAAGTAGAAAGATCTGATAATGAGAATGATATATATGAAATGAAATGGAGGCAGAGATTTAAACATGAAATAGTATATTCAGTTTGACAACATACACTACAATCTCTTGTGGAGAATACAAAAAATGCCAAAGTTTCACTTGTCGTAAGAATGTACCTAGATCGTTGCCCAGTTTTGTGCCGCCAGAAAATGTACCTGTCGTAGCCAATGCACTTTTCCACAATCAACACAGAACTTCGGCGCGGTCAGCGTAACTGTCACTATCGCAAACACTCGAAGTAGTAGCTCGTGCTCGTTCTCTTCTGCCTGGCTGGCTGCCGGGACGCCCGTTGTATCCCCCTGTCCTAGTCTCGTCCCGCAGCTCGCTGCTTGCTGAAGTGGTAAGCGACCTGCTGCTTTGTGCTCTTTAATAGAGAGCGTGTGGCGACTCGGGCACCAACTTCAAAGTTCGCTGTGAACACAGATTGCATCATATCAGAAGTCTCTAGTTTCAATGATGACACTGGAAGGACAAATTGCTCCAATTTTTTTCTTAACTTTTCGAATGGATAGTGGTAATTGCACCCTTTAATATGAACTAAAGTTCATTGCGTTGTATTTCTTGTTTTTTCAAAAATTACACAAATATAATTTCTTTGAAAGCTCTCTAACGCCGTTATTATGCACAATTTCAGCAATTTGTAAACACTTTTGTATTTGTGAGTTAATGTGCTTTAAATGACTTTAAATGAAGTTGTTCGAAAACTTTAAAAAATTCCATGTTATCTTTCCAAGATAGATTAAATTTCTAAGGAGCTTCAAATTTCGAATTTACAGTTGCACTGAAGTTCCATTTTCTCAAAAACGGCTTCACATTTTTCAAAGAAAATTGCCATTAAGGACGACTTTTTACTGTTATTTAATATTGTTAAATGATATTTTCGTTCTACTTTTAGGAAATCGAAAAATTAAGAAAATATCAAAAAAAAAGTTCTTTGAGAAACTGACAAGAATATGTGGCAAGTCCAAGTAGCTAGGCAAGACCAAAAGAAATAGAAAACTAATATGGGAAAGTCTGTGCAGTCTTGTAGTACCACTAGTTTTTTTATGATAAAAATATTTTTGAGAAAATGGCGTTTGTGCACAGAAAACTGTTGAGTTTTCGAGAAAATTTATTTGGCACTATTTAAAGCACATGTACTCATAAATACAATAATGTGAACAAATTGCCGCTAATGTAAATAATAATAAAGTAAGAGACAAATACAAAAATTACATTTTTGTAATTTTTGAAAAAGCAAAAGAATATAGTAATACGGCATTTATAACATCTTATGGAGTATATTTAGCACTATCGCAACCAAAATTTAAAAGAAAAAATTTGGAGCCGTTCTTGAGAAAATCTCGTTTTTCTCATTTTTTTAATTGCCCATATTGCTCGCAATATTGCGCGAAAACTACTAAAAAATTCGAAGTATGTACATGACCTTAATGAGAGAACTCACTATGGAGAACAAATTTAATTTTATCTTGAATTTTGTAGTTGTAGAAAAACACCTAAAAAATTATCAAATTTTAAAATTTTCGAAAAATTAGAGAACATAAAAATCGGGCGTATACCACCTTTATAAGAGTATTTTACTATATTCTTACAAACAATTTAAAGAAAAGATTTCGAGCTGTGTTTGAAAAATAATTTATTATGTCCTTAGAGCTACATGTAAAGTACCCCCAATTTTGGAAGAATATTTTTCAAATATTCTACTTTAGCCAGCTCGACACGGATTTCTTCAATTTGGAAAATATTCAACGTACGGTGTACGCGCTAGTAGTGTTCACAGAATGACGAACAAATTGACGGACAAATAGACACGTTTTGAAAAAAAACTTTTTTGTATCAGGGGACTCCTTTTCTGATGAAATCTCAAACTCGATTTTCCGCAGCATACATAACTTTCCCTTTACTACGTATATGTACGTATATACTCCATATTCTCCGCACTTCGTATATACGTATGTAAACGGGAAAGTAAAAATTAAGAGAAAATTACCAATTTTTTTTGGCAAAAAATAGTTCGTGCTATGATTTAAAGATTAAATATTTAGGAATATATAGCATTAAGAAACATTTCTCTTTAATAATTTTCACAATTTCAGATTTTTAATTAATTTGGTTCTACATCATATTATTAAAGAAATTTTGCTCTTGTAAATATTCAAATCAAAATTTATGGAGTTGTTCAGATTATTTAATGATGTAAATTTGAGAAGCAAATTTAATTTTAAAAAAACTAAATGTTAATAAATGCGGTAAGAGGAAGTAAAACAATTTTAACTTTTGAATTTTTTTAATTTGAGGGATTTTATTTAAAAGTGGATCTACGCATATTTCATGAGCGTAATTTGGTCTGTTGGAGAAGTTTTAAAAACATCGTAGCTTTTTAAGAAACTTTCAAAAATGATTATGCTTTCTTGTAAGGTACCACTAAAAAAGATAAGATCAAATTGTAGGGGACGCAGCATCCGTCCGAATAGACTATTTTGCGGTTTTAGCTCGTATACGAAGGAAGGGACATTTTGACGTTTTGAAAATACTTTTTAGGCTGAAGGGAGTAAAGGAAGGAAGAATTACACCAAAATCGGTATTTTCATCAAAATAAATTGTTGACTTAACTTTATTTACATTATATGCACGACAAACTTAAAAAATAAACGAAAATTACAGTTGATGTTGTTGACTTTGTTGAAAGGAGTTGGAAACGAAATAAGAAGTACCTACCAGCAGATTGTGCCGTATTTTTATTAATATTAGTGCACACTAATGGTCGAATTCAGAATTCATTATCCAAACCGCTTAGAAAGAAAATGTGCAAAACGCTATGAACACATATACCGTTTAATGATCACATTGCATTTCAAAGTTAAACACTGAAGTTTGACGCTACATAAATCTAATTACCTGATGCATCCGCCGTAGAGCGCCACCGTCGCCGACGTGGATCCCTCCGGGCTACTCCAAAATCGGCAACTTGGGGCTGTACAAAGTGCACCGGGATCGCGTGCAATGGGAGACGGCCCGACGCAATTGCGAGGCGGCGGGGGCGCGACTTCTGATCGTCAACTCCCAGGCCGAGGCCGACGCCGTCCTCAAGACAAGCGGCCTGCCAGGTTGGTTCTGGCTGGGCTTCGACGACTTCGACAACTCGGGACAATACATCACGTTGGACGGTGAGTTACTCTTGTCAGCTCGTTTAGCACTTTTTGTCTTAACGAAAGCGGTTTCATAATGAGGATTATGATTAGGGGTCGTATTTCAAAGAAATTTCATTGTTTTTCTTTTTAGTTTAGTACAATGCTTTCAGTATAAGCATTAATTTTATGTTACGACAAAAGGAAATGACCCTTTTTTTGTTGCATTTTTCATCGATTTCGAGTAACGTCATTTTTTACCATTTTCTGTAATTTTGATAGCATTTTTTACTCACTTCGTCGATTTTAATATCATTTAAATGGTATTTGCTGCACATAATATTTACGATATACACCACATGTTCTCCACAGAATTCTTGACTAGCATATTCGATTTCTTTTCTTAGAAATTGTAATGTCAGGAGTAATCTGAAGTTTCTGTAACGCCTATCAGCGCCATTGTCAGATGGGCTGATTTCGGGATAACTGAAGACAGAAATTTACTGGTAAAGAAAAGTCCGAACCAAAAAGTTTGCAAACTGTTTACTTGAACGACAGAAAGAATTCTCGATTAGATGAGTAATACAGTACATCCAACAGCTTGACTTGTTGATTTGAACTGGTTATTTCACATTAATACATTTTATTTATAATTTTGATCACATTAGAGCATTTTATTAATACTTTTCACCATGTTTTAGGGACATCAAAATCCACTTCCTAATTATGATTGTTCTAATTTTTTTAATTTAGCCTTTGTTTTCTGGTATCTCAGAGGATATCTATAGATTTTTACTATAATGTGAGCCCAAAATAATTAATATGTATAAACTTTGTAATATTTTGGGTTCTGTTGCAGGGAGAACTTTAAGAGATGCTGGGTACGAGAAATGGGACTCAGGAGAACCTGACAAGAAGCTCAACTGTGGTGTGGCAACTGTCAAGGGTCTCTTAGGAACTGGAAATTGCAAATATAATAGGGGCTATATTTGTGAGCTCATGTGGCCGTAGGAATACTACAAAAACTTAATTAAAATCATATTGCCAATTTTATCCGTAAGATCTTATTGTAAGAAATAAACATATCTCTAGAAAATTTGTTTCTTTATTTTTAAAATCACCTAAAGAAACAATGTCTAAAGAACACCAAATTCAAGGAAATATACTATTTTAAAGTTTCACAAAAACTAGATGACTAATTATTGTTTTTAAATCCATTACATTTTAATTAAATCTCTATCGAATTAATATTACTACGGATTATTACTACCATTATTATGTTTTTTTTAACAGACGTTGAAAAAAACCTATTTAATGGAGAGAAGAGTTGAAATGTAGATCACCAAATGCAGAAACATTATAACATATAACATTCTGTATAACCAATTTGTTACAACTTTTCAACATTTTGAATTCATTAAATAACAATACATACTCTCGCATTACTAACGGTAATTAATATCGCAATTTCGGTTAATTTGAACACTTCTTAGTCGCCAATTATAAAACTTGAATGTTTACAATCTTTTAGCTATATGTACAAAAATTAATTATTTTAATCATAATAGCTAAACAAATTTCATAACTGAGTTTCATATATCACAGACATGAACAGATTTTTCCGTCAATTTTTGGCATCAAGGATCCACAAAACGTGGATTCTGACTACTCAACGTGTTATGAGAAGCAATTAACTACATTTTGGAACAATATCTATCAATTTAATATGTACCGGGACCCGGCAATATGAGTTCTTCGGCCGAAAAATTACCTTGTTTTCCAGGAGCATTACATAAGCATACTACATAACTATCTGCTATCTTTCTCTATACTGCATAAGCAGTATGAGAGAATGTAAAAATGAAAATTAATTTTTAAATAAATGAAAACTTTAAAAAATGTGGGGACTCCCCAGCTTACAAATGAAGGAAGGAAGGAGGAAGGCTGTAGGCATTCCTTTGAATATGTTTCACCAAAATCGTTATAATTATGAACTTTAAATATTTTTAAAAACTTGCATGGAACCTTGTGTGGTGATATCTCCAAACGTACCTCAGAATTCTTTGCCAACTAAGAGGAACCACATTATCTGTAATAAGAGGATTTTAATATTTTAAATAAGGTTCTTCTTTTCAATGCTGATCCTATACAGAGTAACCTAATGAAAGTGTTTAACAAAACCAGTAGTACTACAACGGCACTACAACACTACTTTCTCACTATAAACTACATTCACCTAGAACATTTCCAACCAGCAAATAGAATTTTAGCACCGAGATTCGAACTTTTCCTCTTAAAGCTAACATACCAGGCACATTACCTTCACACTACCAGCCGCATTGCTAAAGTGATCCTTCTCAACGCTTTAAATACTAATAATTTAGTCTTACAATTTTCAAAATTCAAATAGTTTTCTACATACTAATTAAAGATATAGTTTTAAAGAAATGATTTCATTCAGAAAATAAACTAGTATTAATATTGTAGTTTTGCAATGTTTTTTTTCTTGCGTTTACAGAGAGTTAACAGAAATAAGATTGATTAGTTATTTCGTGTTTCTATGCGCGCTAACTACTATGGTAATTTGTCTTGTAGTGTATGCTTTTTATCACGTGAAGGGGCGGTGCCCTTCCCAGCCTGAATGGTGATAGACTCCGACCGACCGAGCGTGACTCCGACCAATGGAGTTTTCTCCATCGACAAGCTCTAACCTTCCCACTGGTATTCGCGCATGTGAGGTAGTGTATTGCATGTTATTGTATGTGTGTAAGCAAGGGGCGAGGTTAGGACAAGGAAGAGGAAGAAAAGAGCGAGTGCAATCCGTGCAATCATGGGACGCGCGCGCGGGAGCATCAGGTCTTATTTGTTAACTGAAGTATTTCGTACACAATACGGATAACGTTACATTTCAACTTAGAGCATTTATTTCACACACAAGTTACGAGCCTGAAGAAACAAGTGAAGAGCTCTGGTAAATAACATAGTTACTCTTAAATTAATATATTCGTTTTTATGATACAAACAATTACACTATCACAACACATTCAAAACACCCAATAAATTAAAAGGGGGAGGCAAGATCCAAGAATGCAGCAAACTGAACGGGGGACTTCGAGGAGCCTGGGTGTGATGTAACCCGTCATTTTTAAGGGGCTTCGGGCACCAGAGCCAAAGACAGTGTTCTTTGACGAGTGAAAGAATAAGTGCAGTTGTTGTGAGTGACAAGTAGTTATTATTGTCGACTTGATAGGGGTCTGGTTATTCTTCGGACGGAACTGTGACTTGGACAGAGTATTTGGATATCGCCAGATATTCTGGTGCATGTTTTCGTATATACCCTTCTCTCCTGATTACAGAATAAAGTATTTGCGAAGTGTTTGTTACGGGTTTGTACATGGAATATTGTAAATATTTGTCAAGATAAATTTACTTATTGTTGGTACTTGCGTATCCTTATTTGGAACTTTTGAAGAGTTTAAAATGAACAACGTTTGCTCAAAAAGTAAGATTTTAAGATACTAGAAGTGTTTCTAGAGCTTCATATCAGCCATTTGCTGACTGTGTTGTGAACAAAATTAGCCTCTGTCCGTAGTCATCAGCTCCGAAAGTTTGAGTGATTTTGATAAAGCAACCATAGTCCAGAGTCCCTTTTGGTAAAAGAACCATAGTCCTTTAAATGTGAGTTTTTCTCCGCGTTTATTTCTCAAGCATAGCATTATTTCTCAATCTGCAAAGGATGATAATGTTTGTTTTGTAAATGTGGAAATTCTGTTTAACCAGAATTTTTGTACTGGAGGTTGGTGATAGTGTATAATCTGTTCTTGTGGCATATACATCCTTCGTGTTGTGAATCTGACCAAGCAAGGGTGAAAGAACAGCTAAGAAATGGATTTTACGTCAGATGTAGAAAGAACAGATTGGAAGAGACGCAAACCAAAGAATGAAAGAGACGAAATACGATGTAGTAAGAACAATGGAGGAAAAGTGGGGTAGGAGGTAAAAGCAAAGGGCAAAGAAGATAAGAGGGATAAAATAAGGTAAAAAAAGCACATTTTAATCACAAAGGGATCTTATCACCTACTAAAGAGAGATATCTAAATTTGTCATCAGTGGCAGACGCTTGTATGGAAAAAGAAAACACTGATAATTATTTTAATAGAAGTTGTAGAAAATAATAAGTTGGTATATAATATTCCAAATTGAATAAGTGCATTAACTTCTTGCGTTATTACTTCAAATATTGTAATATTACTGACCCAAAAAATAATTTTGATATACAAATTTCGGAATTTTTAAGAAAAAAACTCCATAGTCCATACATATAACACTTTACCCAATAAGTTCCACACTAAGGTTCACGCTTAAACTACACTCAAGCTTACATCAGTTTGCAATGGCTCGAGAAAGGGCACAAAGAAAGTTTCATGCTTCAAATGACTACCAATTTCGTCATGGATCGTTTTTGCGCCCTCCCTAAAAATTGTGTTTTTGGAGTATGGTTGTTTTTAAAAAAACTTCATTATATACGAGCTCTCTGATTGGGAAAACGGGAGAGCTCGTTAATACGAAATATTGCCGGAGTGATTAAACTTTGCCAGGCACTTGCCAGGGTTCTTTTACATTCCACCAGCATAAAAAGGTGACTGGATTTTCTGCCCTTCGAAATCTACGCGTTCGACCGGGAGAGATGGCATCAGATGATGTCACTGCAATCTCTCTGACGGGGAGATCCTAGGTTCGAAACCCAACGGTGGCAGAATTTGCACAATACGTAATGGTCTAATCACCCTGGTAGTTGACGTGCCCGGAATCACTCAATCAATCAACCGGGGTCCGCGTACTGGGCTTACTATGCTAGTAAGCCAACAACTCGCCCACCGAGGCTTACATGCGCGGCTCTCGCATCACAAAAAAAGAAATCTTGGACACTTAGTACCCGGCCTGCTGTCTAAGACTCACGCACAGAAGTCATCACATCTCCGCACGTCACCCAGCCGTTGCTTACTGCATTTTGTAAGGACCATTTCAATATTCATTCCTGTAAGTTTCTTTATGTACCCGACAGGATCTGAAGCTTACATGTAACATTCTGCAAGAACACTGATTGTAAACTTTTGGATGAATCCATAAAAAGTCGTCTGTCATCCACTTTGCCTTCAATGTATTTTTTTTTTCAATTAACCCAGTGATAGTACAGCAGAATACCAAGACACCTTTTTGCGAAAAGTAATGTGTAAGTTCTTGTGTTTCGACATAGATAAGTACTTTTTCGTGCTTCCAATAAATGATTTTCTCTCAGCCATCAGCCTATGAATTCAGCTTTCTCTTTGCCCGTCTGACCGGCCAATATTCTTGCGGTTCCATTATGTCGTGCTACCCGGAGCGCCGGCAAGCGCTGGCAGGTCTTCAAAATTCAGCACATTTCTACAGATGAGTAGCATTGACGATGGGGCAGTGCGGCGTCAACTTGAAATGTTTGCTAACCTCCAAGAGGTACTTGATCACAGAGAGCGAGAGAGTTGTGGGAGAGAGAAAGAGAGAAAGAGAACGAAAGAGAACGAAAGAGAGAGAAAGAGAGAGAGCGAGAGAGAGAGATGAGTAGGAAATAAAAAAAAGCGAAACAATCGAAAAACGTCATTATTAATATAGTAAATTGATCCCTGGCATAAAAAGTCAAGATGTGTGGGTTGCCAAGCTATATTGTAACCAATGATTTCATCGCTAGCATCGTCAGCGCAGCTCTGTGATGCCGGGGCCGCACTGCATAACCGCGAGACTGCGGCAAACAACTGCTCGTGGTTGACCCTTCGGGATCACTGCTTCCCATCGCTCTGGAAGAAGAGTTTTGCGCACTGGAATTGTTTCGAAAGGGGATGGGTTGGTTTTGAGAGTAGCAAAAAAAGTTGCCTCTAAAAAAATACGCTCCATTGTTATAAAATAGTATCAAAATATGGGGGTCTTGTTAGGAAATGCAGAAAATGAGTATCATTTCAAATAATATTACTTCATTAGTCGGACCCATTAGAACATTTTGCTCTTTGTAAATCATAGATTTAAGTGTCAAGATCGCTGAAATTTGGGAATTCAAAAGCTTAATAACAATTTTATTTTAAAAAATTTAAAATTTTTATAAAAGCAACACCAAACTTCTACAACTGT